GCACGAAACATTTAGAAATTAATCCTTTGCTGTTACATAGTAAAATAGCTTCATTGTAAAATAAATTTGTCGACAGCAATAGAGAAATTGTCGCTGAGCTCCGAAGAGTTGGCATAAGGAAAGAGGAATTGAAAACCGACCTGAGGAATTGATGAAGTGGCAAAATATTTTCGTGACGACACATTTTATTTTTTGAATGGTTGAGATACTTTGGAAATGGGTGAGCAATTCGTCTCCGAATACGATAATATTTTCCATGAAAAAGAATTAATTTTGAGCATGAGAAAGGGCATCGAACTCCACATGAGAAATGAGTGGTACGAGAACATGTTCCAAGGAAAACAGCCAGATAATTGCGTGCGAGCATCACAAAATACGCGCGCGAATTTTATTTCATGCACCCAGGAAAAAAAAAAACCATAGTACAGGTTTGTGTGACGTACCTTGTACCAATCAGTCAGTTGTATGAGTCAAAAGATTCAACCGTACATGTGATTTTAACATACTGGTACTACTAGTACACATTTCATAACAATTGAATACAATCTTGAAAGTGAGCAAAAAGTAATAATTTGAAGTTATGAACTCTTGCTTGTACATCATGTACCAGGTTCTACTGAGCTAATTTTTGGAATTGATTCCCCTCAAAACAAAAAAAATGGTTCCTGCCCTGTCAATTCGTGAATGCCATCCAAAAACTAACTCCGTAGAACACAGTAGAATTTCTACCAGAGTTCTTAACTTCGAATTAAAAGTTTTTGCTTACTTTGAGACTGTACTGTATTCAATTTTTACGAAACGCGTAGCATAATGATGACGAACAAATTTCCATTGTTGGAAGACGACGAACAAAAGAATTTCGTGAACGTGAGTACGTACGATACTGTAAAGTATTTATTTTTGTCTTCATAGTTGAGAGTACGTACGTACGTACGTACGTACCGTACTCGTGCTTACCGGCGTGCCGGCACTGTGCATGTAAGGTACGTACCCTATGGTATGCATGCATCTTGCGCATGGGAAGAACATCCCACTCACTCGAGTCGGAAGAACTAGAGAAGTGAAAACCAGAAAATGTTTTCTGACTCGTGCGGTACAATCATCATTCTAAGTACTGTACTGTACTTCGTAATATTATTTTGTGGGTGTACCGTAGGGTCAAGTACGATCTATTACATTCACCTACCGGTACCGTACCTAACCATTATTTTGCTCATTCCCAAAACTTCTCTTAGCCCATTGCATTGATACCGATTCCTCCTTCCGTGTAGTCGAAGCAGCCGAGATAGTTCACCATGTCGGCACGGATAATTCTTCGTCGTAATGCTCTTGGAAACTGCGTCCACGGACGCAGTCGAACTGCACTGGTATTAGACTCGTCGTCGAGACGCTTGGCGAGTGCATCGTCTTCGTTGCGTCGTCGGCCCCTGCCAAAAACCCAGGATGCCGCTCTAACTGCAATTCGAGTAGAAGACTATGAAAAAAACTATTGTGACGATCAAAAGCAGCGTCATCACCTCCGGAGTCATCTGTCATTCTCGTCGTCGCGGAAGACGAATGGGAATGCGAGTTGGATTGCTTCCCGCTTTCCGTCCTCGCACGAAGACTTTTCTACCTTGTTTACACCATGGTTTATGACCAAACTACCGAAGGGGTTTGAAAACTTTTTTCCCAAAGAAAAGGAAGGGGATGCCGATCTCTCTGCATCCGGGACCAAATCATCGGGGAAAGCATCAAGTAACGAGCATGCGAATCACAACGAAAATAACGATTCCAAACAAGCAACACTCAAATCGAAGGCCGGTGATGGAAAACAAAGGAAACGACAAAAAAGACGTTCTGGAATTCCTCCGCCAGAGGACAACGAGCCACAAAATATACCGGCAATGATTGCTCTGTTGCTATTGATTTCTGCGACCAACAACTTTTTCAAGTCAGAGGACGACGAAAACGAGGGCGGACGCAACGGTGGAGAAATAACCTTCGTCGATTTTCGAAACCACCTCTTGGACACAGGCCAGGTAGATAAAATTGTCGTCGTAAACAATAGCCTCGCTCGTGTGATTTTGCATCCGGGAAGCAAGGGTATGCCATCGAATAGTCAATCTTCATCGTCTTCGACCATATCGGCTGCCAGGACATCCAGTGGACACGAAACCAATCCCGCTGTTCTTGAATCGCAATCCTCGGATGACACCATTTTGGAGTTCGACAGTAGCGACGGCAACGCCAACAACTTTTCTGCTTCGGATGATAGCGGTCTCGCTGCCAAGAACACACCCGTATATCACTTTTACATCGGAAGTGTCGAATCCTTTGAAGGAAAACTCAGCAAGGCACAGGGGGATGTCCACCCGCGGGAGTGGGTGCCGATACAATACGTCAACGAAATAAATATCTTGCAAGAATTTATCAAGCTGACACCCATGTTGGCGATGCTAGGGATTTTATTCTACTATTCACGAGGTCTGATGGGCGGAGGTGCCGCGGGAGGCATAGGAGGTGGCGGTGGTGGTGGACCGGGTGGAATCTTCCAGGTCGGCAAATCGAACGCCAAGAAAGTCAATCCCGAAACTGTAAATGTCTCCTTCAAAGACGTGGCAGGATGTGAACAGGCTAAGCTAGAAGTTATGGAGTTTGTCCAGTTCTTGTCGTCGCCAGAACATTTTACGAGACTGGGTGCCAAAACGCCAAAGGGAGCCCTACTCTGTGGACCACCTGGTACAGGCAAGACTCTCCTAGCCAAAGCAGTTGCTGGTGAAGCCGGGGTTCCTTTTTATTCCATCAGTGGCTCAGATTTCATTGAAATGTTTGTTGGAGTTGGACCCTCAAGGGTGCGAGATCTTTTCAAAGAGGCTCGAGCCAATACGCCCTGCATAATTTTCATAGATGAAATCGATGCCGTTGGTCGCCAGCGTGGTCGTGGTGGTTTTTCGGGCGGAAATGACGAACGGGAAAATACACTCAATCAGCTTCTTGTCGAAATGGATGGTTTTAGCCCAACGACCGGTGTTGTGGTTTTGGCTGGTACCAATCGTGTTGACATTTTAGATCAGGCTTTAACTCGACCTGGTCGCTTCGACCGTCAAATTACGGTTGATCGTCCCGATCTCCAGGGTCGCAAAGAAATTTTTGGCGTTCATCTAGAAGGGCTAAATCTGGAGGGGGAGGTGGAAGAATACGCGGGCCGATTGGCGGGTCTTACTCCTGGTTTTGCAGGAGCAGATATCGCCAACCTTTGCAACGAAGCAGCCATTGTGGCGGCGCGCCGGAAGGCTGACAGTGTAACATTTCCTGATTTTGAAAAAGCGACTGATCGGGTCATCGGTGGTCTTGAATCAAACAAAATCATGAGCGACAAGGAAAAGAAAATTGTTGCATACCACGAAGCTGGCCACGCTGTGGCAGGATGGTTCCTAGAGCATGCCGATCCGCTTCTTAAGGTCACCATAATTCCTCGAGCTAGTGGGGCGTTAGGATTTGCTCAGTATTTGCCGAAGGAAGTCTTTCTGCGAACACAGGAACAAATCATGGATATTGTGTGCAAGACGCTTGCTGGGCGGGCCGCAGAGGAAGTATTTTTTGGACGAGTGACAACGGGCGCTTCCGATGATCTAAAGCGAGTTACACAAATGGTTTACAGCACTATTCAGACTTATGGAATGAATTCTCGTGTTGGGCAGTTAGCCTATCCGCAAAGCGACGATGGTATGCCTGGTGATAAACCTTACAGTGATTCCACAGCAGAGGCCATGGACGACGAGGCACGAGCGATGGTAGATGAGGCCTACAAGCGGACCATAGAACTCATAATAGAAAGAAAACATGAAGTAGAAAAAGTTGCGAATCTTCTGCTGGAAAAAGAAACAATTACTCACGACGATATGATCGATTTGATCGGAGAACGACCCTTCGATGGAGATGCCTCATACCAAGAATATGTTAGTCGGAGGTCGCAGTTGGGTCAGGAAACAACTGACAAGTCTAGATGTGATCAAAAGGAAGATATTTCCCAGGATAAACAAGACAACGAGGGGAGCCTTGCGCCAGGTCTAGCATAGAAGAAATACTGACTGACTTTCCGCGCTAGAAAGCGGAATTGTTGTGTGCAAAGAAGTTTGCACTCGCGAATTTCAAGTCCAGACGAGACGTACGGTACCGTCTGAATAAGTCCCAGATTATATTAATGAAAAATTACTAATCCCATCCCAGTAGCAACTCTATGAATAGCCAAAGAAAGATACCTATTTCCCTCGCGTATTTCTGGGTATATTACAAGATCTTGTTTGGGTACTACGCGTTGCGGATCAATTGAAACTACGTTTCACAGGGCGTTCCCAATCTTAATTAACATTCCGAATGTTAGAAATAAAGTTCCAAATGTTTAAGGTGCAGAATGTTAAATTTTTCACGTAGGCCTATGTAGATCCTAGTATCATCCACATTCTTCATTCAGTCTTGCACGTGCCTAAAAAGGGTCCTTAAAACGAGAACTGGAACTTTCAGCATGAAAATAATTTAAACTGTAACTTTTTTCGAAGGCTGTTGTAAAATTATTAAAAATCATACCGTCCCCTAATATAAACTTACTTAGAACATACCGTCCCCTAATATAAACTTACTTAGAACAACTTCTCCCCTAATATAAACTTACTTAGAACAACTTTTCCTAATTTCTTGTTTTCTTACGGCAGCTTCGGCAGCTCAAATTCACCAAAATAAACAGTAATTTCATTCCTTCAGCACGGGCGCTTGGCCGGCAGCTCAAATTCACCAAAATAAACAGTAATTTCATTCCTTTGAGCACGGGCGCTGGCAAAATAACTGGACCATTAAGTAATTTCAGCACAGGCTCCTATTACGGCAGCTCAAATTCACCAAAATAAACAGTATTTTCATTCGCTCCAGTCTTACAGCAGCTTCACTAGACCAAAATAAACAGTAATTTCAGCACAGCGGGTCCACTTATTTGGTTTCAATTGATCTGCAATGTGTAGTAAAGGTATTACAAAGTATTCTGTGAATTCAAACGTTAGTCCTTGGTTCAACAGAACCAAAGGGATATAAAATAAATGCTACAAAGTCTACCTCGGTTCCTAAATAATGGTAGTACCGTACAGTTTGCACCTCCTGGGTTGGATTACGCTAAATACTTGGGCAATTTGACTGCTTCTTTTTTGGTGTATAACAGATCTAATATAAATGTATTCAGTTACAAAGGTTTCATTGAGAATAAAGTGTCTGATGTACTTGTGATACTAGCTAATCAAACAGGGCCTATTTTGGCACATAAATGTGATTTTATTGTCAGTTTCTTCTACCTGTCATTTTAGCACACGAGTTGCAGCTATAGAAAGCTAAGACTAAGAGCTCTATCACGATATTCTAATTATAGTACTAAATGATAATGTTCCTGTATTGGTCATTCTTATTCAAAAGAGAAGCACTGTACTACCATTGTCAACCTTTTGTTTCCTGTGTTAATAGACATGTAAATTTCATGTGGAAGAATAATTTTTATTCACGCACATGCTGACTTTTTTCTGTAGTACTGATTGTACGTGTTCTACCTAGTCATTTGTAGAATCTAACAGCCAAAAACTGTTAAGTAAATACTGCACCATTATTTTGAAAAAAGTAGAGTAGGGCAAAGTGTACCGTTATTTAGAAAAGAAGGTAGTAATTGATTATGGAAGGTATATTGATTCAGATTTGAACTATGAAACAAATAGTACTAAATCAAGTTACCCTTCATGCTCCACCTGCCCTGACAGGTACCTGAGATGTACTACTGCAAATTATAGAGAGTCTGAACTAAAGACTCACAACATTTATTTGAATTGCTAACATTTATTTTTATTTTCCTTTGTATCCCAATTCATAAACAAAAAACCTGTTTCATCTGTTTTACCGATAGTGAAAAGGGAGCTACTAGTACCTTTAGGCTCATGCAGACAAAATCTTAAAATTATATTTAACCTTGTGAACTAGAAGAGGCACTATCGTATAGCGTGGGCCACGTGTTTCCTGCCGAAATAATCGTACATTTTTTAATATCATATATTCGTACATGTATATCAATCAATATTCGTCGAACGCCGTACTCCCGCACGGCGTTAGAAAGCTCTTTCAATTCTCTTTTCAACCATGTGCTTACCATACTTAAGCGTCTGTTGGGCGAAAAGTTATGGCTGTTTGAGTGAGTTGAACCTCTCTTATTGGCCTACATGTTTTTTGTACTGTGCGGGGATTTTGGGCCATCTTTTTACCGTGTAATGCCTCGTGGGATTAAAAATTTGCATGTGTTCAAAGCCAAAATTGTCAGTTGAGCACGTCGCAAAACTATTTCTTGGTTGCATGGATGTGGGATTCAAAAATTAACACTACTGAGCACGTGCATTTTGTACCTTTTAGTCAAATTAGTCATTACACGCAAATAAGATGGCCAAAAATCCCCGATATTATCGTACATCTGCTGGCCAACGCTATATGATATGGCCAGAAACGAAACTTCTCTGGACTAGGGAGATGAATGCTCCTAGCAGCTTTATAGGGTGACACCTCCCTCCAAGGAGGGTTTGTGGAGGTGCAACCAGGTTCTATGCATACTGACAAGCCAATTAAGGCATGTCACTGGACTCAGGATACAGAGAAAGAGTTGGTTCACAGTTTGAATGGATGAGAACCACGCCATTAGCATTTCAAAGGGCACTGCCAAGCCAGAAGCCAACCCCCATTGCAGTGATCAAGGAAACAAGTGCCAAGGACACTGCCAAGTCAAGTCACTGCACAGTGGGCGAGGACACATGTGGTGGAGTAGTCATAAAAAGAAAAATCAAAAAGGAAAAGAAAAGCCAAAAGAAAAAAGAAAAGAAAACTGATCTTATTTTCAATTAACAGCAAGACTCAAACCCAAGAGGAGCAACTGTTTGTGAAGCATCTTTGTGAAGAAGAAATTGAGAATAGATTGATAAGATCTGGTCAATACTGGGGGTTGGCGCGTTGTTGTTTCTATCCAACACAAATGTTGGAAACAACAACATAATGCCTAAAATCTGCTTCTGGTCCTTAAGAACTGGGGTAGGGGGATGCACGAGATTACATGTACTCTTAGTAGGTGTTTCAAGTGTTTTTAAAATTGAATTATAAGATTAAGATTATGAATTCTAGAGTTCCGATTAGATCCCTGTGTAGATCTGGTACTGATTCTATACGGGGATTCTTCTATTCCGGACTCGTGACATCTTTGTTCTTTGTAAAGTGGTATTCTCAAATCATAGCTTGAGTATCTTGGACCTCTTAGGATCCTTGGTACGTTGGATTGTATGATATATAGATATGAATAGTACCTTATGATATGTAGGTAGGAATGGTATGTCCATCTATTCCGATCAAGCATCGTATGAATGTATGCTTTCATAACAGTACGTACATATACTCCCAATGCAGTACATACGTATCTGTTGCATTATCCCCAACACGAATACTCCCTTCAGTATTACTACTAAGCTGTAGCAATCATTTCTTCAATATTTTCAACAGGGGATTCTTCTTCCACTGTTGCTGGATCTTTGAAATTTGCATTGACAGTTCCTTTATAGGGGACAAGCTTCCCAATGTTGACAGTCTCACATACATCGTCACTTCTTTGCAGTGAAGAAGTGTTCAACTTTTGCCTCACAATTTTTTTGGGACTTTGGACTTTGTTCCCATGTGTTGTTTGTGATGGTGTGGAAAGTTTGGAGTTGGGAGAGTGACATGCCTGACCATCCMATTATGTGGAGGAGCTGTATGTTGGTCATTGGTTGTTGTGCTCGGGCAGTAGGTTTGGGTGCATTGGTGATGGAGGGGTATAAGTTCATTTTGTTGATTTCTATGGGTTTKGGTGTTCAAGAGTAGTTGTCGGAGTTTTTTGTGTGCCATGTTACTATGGATGTCTTCTGCCATGATGTGTATGTCTTGGTGGTTTGGAGTGATTGTCAGTGGTGCAATATTTTGGACATATGGAAGCAGGGGGGGGATGAATGGTGTGGAGAATTGGTTTTGGGTGGTTGGCAGTAGGGCTCATTTCTGGTACAGGTACTGGTGTTGGTGTTGTGTTGGTGGGTTGGCTGGGGTGACCCGGTAGGTGATGGGTGTAGATCAATGGTATTGGTTTCATTGCTTCTGCGGACATCATTTTGGGGGGTCAGTTTGTTTGGGGTATGTGGTTTGTGTTTGTTGGGTTTTCTTTGTTTTGTATGTTTGGGGCTTTGTGGGCTTCAAGGGTAAGAGCATTGTTTGAGATGAGTAGTTCAATGAGGATAGATGCCTCATTTGGCCAGAGATCTTCAAGGTTGTTGGTGATTTGCGCAGAAAGTTCTGTTGAGAATGGGAGGTTTGGGGTGGGGCTGATAAGGAGGAAATTGCTTGTTGCTGGGTCCTTGTTTTGTGTGTGCAGGCTGCTAGGAGCCGTTTTGCAGTCATAGAGTTTTTGGTGATTTCTTTCTCATGAATGAGTTTGCTGCAGAGTTTGTTTTGATGGGTGGGTTGTTGATTGGTACAGTAGAGGTCCAGGGGGGAGGGCAGGATTTGCCCTAGGAGTCTCTTGTTCTTTGCTTTTGTAGTGCCATGGGTTTAAGGAAGGGGATTGGGTTTTCATTTAGGTCTTGTTTGGTTCTGTTGGGGCTGGTGATTTGGGGGCATTTTCTGTGGTTGGGGTCAAGTGACTCCTGGGACTGGAGGGTAAGGATGTTGCAGTTTTTTGGGTGTAGTGCTATGACATATATGACATTTTGACTGTATCCTAGGGCAAGCACTGGTGAAACTCTGTTGTTGTCAAGGATTGTGTAATATAATCGGCGAGGTACTTGCCGATTACGTGTAATCCGTATGTAATCTGATATAGCGCAAGACTGCACATAATTTTCTCCTTAAGGAAGTTTTCGAAGGTTTTCCAGAGTACGGATCAGATTACATACAGATTACACAAGTAATCCAACTGAGGCTGAGGACAAGAGCTTTGCTCGAGACCGGGGCTGAAGTTGGATCTACTTCACAGTAATCCAACTGAAGATGAGGTAGAGAGCGTTGGCTTGGGACCAAGGCTGAAGTTGGATTACTGCTGTGAAGAGTAGCTGGCCGATTATTTACGTAATCCTCTTGTTTGCTCGCTTTTTACTTGTAATCACCACCCTGATACGGTGGACGCTGATACGATATGGAGGATGCTGATACAATACGAAGGAGCTGCTGATACGGAGCTGCTGATATGATGCTACGACGAGTGCTAATTCCAAATAGTTTCATTTACTGATTCTTACAAAATATCTGTTTGTTGTCGTGAAATAGACGACAAGAAGAAACAACACAGGAGAATGACGCTGCTTTACTACATAATACCATAGGACTGTACCCCTCGACGCGCTTCCTCAATCTCCTTCAAGCGCTGGGACATGTTCAGTTCATTTTCAAGCTGTGCTCTTTTGCTCTTTTCCCAAGCGAGCTCCTTCTGATTATATTCATCCTTTGCCTCCTGAATCTTTTCAGATAGCTTTTTATCCTGCAATTCATTTTCAAGTGGAGAGAGCTTCTTTTCAAGATCTAAAATAGTACTTTGGGCAGCTCCCAGTTGGCACTGGATCTTCTTTCCCGCTCTCTCAAACTCATCGGATTCATCTTTCCTCTTCGAGACTTCCTTTTTTGCCATGACAAGCTGTTGCTTCAAAATTCCCTTTGTGGGTGTAATTATTTCCTTTTTACTAGTAAGGAGACCTCCTCCGGCTGAACAGGATGCTGCTGCGATTGCTAGGCTGTCCGCAACAGGAGAACAAGAACTGCTGGCAAGCACTGCTTTGCTGACAGTACTAGCGCTCATTCTTTCTGATTTTTCTTCCGACGCAACAAAGACCTCCTTCTTTTTCATGTCAATATCTCCTCCAGCCTTTGTTGTTGCCTTTGAGTTTCCTGAAGGACCATCCTTCTTACCATGGAGCCCACCATGAAGCACACCTTGTACTACAGCTTGTTGAATTACTGAATTTTGATGAATATATGGCTCAGCAGACTTGCTACTCTTGTGTCTAAGATGGTTCATCCTCATCTTTTCCGGAACAGCAAGGTCAGAAGAAAGGATAGTGCAGCAACGGTGCCGATTGTCATGAGGAGTGTACTTCTCCCAATMTTTGAAATCAGCAACTTCAGCAAACTCCTTCACCCAAGTCCGAATTGATCCCACTCCCACAGGAGATAAGCTCTTGAAGTAGTACAGGTTGTTCCTCTTCTTCTTCAAGTTAGGATGACAAAGGAATCTTGCTTGCTTTGGATCACACCGAGCTCGATAGAAGTGGATCAGCTTTACAACACAGTTTGGATTTTCATGGTCCTCCACGACAGAGGGGAATTGCTTCGTTACAGTTGGATTATTCAGTGAGAGCTGGTGCAACTTATCAAACCCTCCTCCAGGAACAATGATTACATACTTTAATCCTTTCATGTTACCATTGTTGAAGGTGCCCATCCTCACGTGTGACCACATTATTCCAACAAGCTCCGTTCCACCTCTTATTCCAAACTGTCGACCAAGCTCCATAGCTGTTAGCTTCAACAAGTCTTGCATGTTCTCGTAAGGCTTGTAAGTACCGTCAGTCAACACCTTTTGGAACTTCTCATCAACAAACTCATCAAACTCAGCCTTTGTCCTCTTTGTTCCAATGGAAGGATCAGCTTCTTGCTTTGAATTATAATCATGCGTAATGAAGGCAAGAAAGCCCCCCTTTGTTTTGAAATCTCCTTCCTTGAACCTTACATCTCTCTCATGAAGAGCAACAAAGAGCTGTTGAACCCTAACACTCATAGTGCTGGTGTCAAGTGGAGCACCAGTTTTGGTGTTCTTCATGTGTTTTGCCCATACTTTGAGTGCTCAATCTAATATTTGCTTGCTTACGGCATTAGTCTTTCCTGTTACATGCTTGTAAAATAAATAATCTTCAGTAAGCCCATCTTCCATTACCACTTTCCTTGTAAACATCTCATACATAACGTTGTCTCCTGGATCATTTTTGGCTGGATCTGTTGCTGCAGCAACAATATCCACAAAATTTTGGTGAATAGTTCTAATTGTCTTTGCATACTTCTTTGTCTTTGCTTTGGCGTCCTGATAGTTGGGGTTGGGGTTGGGTTGGGGTGCTGTTGGGGCAGGTGCAGGAGAACTGGGTGCTGGGGACTTATCTTTGCTCGTCATTGTAACTCTTCTTGTTGCTCTTTTTCCTGCTCTCGTTGGTGCTCTTCCAGCCATTACCTGGTGCTGGTTGTCTTCTGATAGGATGGGTGGCTTTGGTTGCGAGGCTGGAACTGTCCATGCTGTCAGGGGTGCCTCATTGTCAACATTTATTGGTGTTGAATCAATACAAAAGGAGATATCATCCCCTCTCCTGTTCCTTGCAGCAAACAATTCCTTCTTCATGATATCAGAGTCCTGAGTTGAGGACGCAAACATGTGGGCGTAATCAGGCCAAGCACCATGGTCTCAACGTCCTCTAGGATCTTTGGATGATCCTTGTTGCATGGATTGTTGTCTATTGCTTCTGGTCCTAACCATGATACTTTTTGTGAGGAGTTCTCTATTTTCTTTCAACAGATTCACTTTGTGTTGCCGTGTCAATCATGTAGAAATCAGGTACTGTTCTACACGAAAGGGTCCACTCCAATGAACACATTCATCTTCTTTTACGCAAAGAATAGTCGTAACCCTGATGCTTTTTGTGTGGAGTTTTCTATTATTTTTTTGACAGATTTCACTCTGCATTGCCTTTCCAAACACGTAGAATTTAGGTACTTTTCTACATGAAAGGGTTCACTCCGATGAACACATTCATCCTCTTTGGAGAGAACGCACTGTTACGCAAAATATTGGAGGAGTACAAAGTTGAGTGATACTACAGTATATTCAGCTCAGTTGAAAACAAAAATTGGTTGGGGAGAGGATTGACCTCAAAAAAAGTAATCCGTCGTGAAAATTTTGTGTCAGAGTGTAATCCAAATCAGCCAAACAACTAGCATTACTGTGAAAAAAAAAGGTCGAGCGCTGAATACAATTTTGGATTACATGAAATCCATTTTGCAGGTTTGTAATCCATCGAGGTGCAAGATTTAAGTTGAAAATTAACTAGTGTTTCTTAGTGCACGACTACATGTAATCTTTTTGTAATCCAGCGCGCGTGATTACACGTGAAAAGCGAGCAACTGGAGGATTACCTGGTACACATGTCCAGCGTTCCATGGTTCTTGGTTTCCAGGTGGTGGGGGGGGGATGCTCCTTTAGAATGGTGATAATGGTGCCACAGATTCCAGGGGCAAGGGTGAGGGCTGACATTATGATGGCAGTGTGTAAGCTTTAGGAGATTTTTTTGGTACAAATTTTACTTTGTGAGCATTTTGTTGCGGTTGATTGTTATAGTTGTTCTGTGTTTTTTCTTTTGGTTGTTTGTTTCTGGTGTGCCATGGTTGTCAGAGCGGCCTTTTTTGTGGGTTTGTGTTTTCCAAATTGGTCTTTTGTCAGTGGTATTGCTGAATTTAGTTAGTTGTCCATCTTCATGGCTTTGGTTCTTGTGTTGTTTTTTGGTGTTTCTTTGTAACTGTCTGGTTTTGGTTGTGTACTGGTTCTTGTCGGGGTGTCACTTCATGACAAGGTGTGTCAGGGCGATGGGGTTTACCTGGTGGGCTGGTCAGGCTGGTCAGGCTGTTCGTGGTTGCAGATTGCTGGGGTGGGGTCCATCCATTGTTTGTTTGTTTGGTGAATTTTGTGTTCTATTTAGCAATATGTCATTCTTGTTTTCATTGGGCTCTGTGGTGTATTTGGTTTGGTTTGGTTTGTTTTGTCAGTGTGTTGGCACAGTGTCGGTGCAAGCATTTCTGTTGACATTTGTTCATGGTGGGAGTGGCTTTTTGCCTGTTGTGAATGTGGTTTCAACACAGTGGGGGTGTCATGTGTTCTTTGCAAGTTGCTGTATGTTCTGTTTGGCGGTCAGTCGTTGTATTTTCACCGGATTCTTGTGGTGTATGTGTTGAGTTTCGTCCTGTGGTGATGATGATGGTGATGTGTTGGGGTGAATATTTCCTCTTTCACATCATGTCTCATCCAACCATGTCCTCCTCAATACTTTCAAGAATGAGGTCAAGGCTTATTGATGTGCAAGGCTATTGCATTTGCGGGGTTTCGCGAGGTAGCTGTTTTGTCTGGTTGGCGTCTTACGTCTGTCCGTCGTTTCCAATACTCAAAAACATACTGTACGACAGCCGAGCTGAAATATGAAATATGGTTGTGTGGCACCAAAGTTGGGTGCCGGTCTGACACTTTTAACATACTTCTACTAAAAGAGGTCATGGATCATTGTAGGGGATTTTGTGAACTCGAGATTACGCAATGACATCAAACGACTATTACGCCAACATAAAAAACGCTGTCGATTTAGCGAGTGGAGGGGAAGAGCGGGTAGAAGTGAACCAAAGAGCCCTGATCGATAAGATATTGGCTCGATATGCTTCGGCAGGTGCAGTCTATCGGGAGCTGCTTCAAAATTCCAACGATGCCGAAGCGACCACGGCAGAAATTTATTTCACCACGAATCGGGAAGGAAAAAAAAATGTTGATTTTGTAAAAACAGAGTCTTTGGATAAGAAAATCCCATCGACCGTACATCTTAAAAATGCCGGCAAAGACATAGTCTCTAACGTAACTTACAGAAACAACGGCTTGCTCTTTCGCTCTCAAGATTGGTCCCGACTGAAAAAAATTGCCGAAGGAAATCCAGACGAATCAAAAATTGGGGCTTTTGGAGTTGGGGCCTATACGATGTTTTCGATTTGTGAAGAGCCGATGGTACTCAGTGGAAATGCTGCCTTGGCTTTCTTTTGGAAGGGCGATGCTTTATGGACAAAAACAATCAAGACCGCTGACCGTCCGAAGGAAGACCAGGCTTGGACTTCTTTTGTCTTGCCATCACGAGATCCTTATCTTATGCCCGATCTGGTTGATTTTGGGGAGTTCTTGTGCGCCTCATTGACTTTCACGAAATGCCTCCGCGAAATACGAGTTTACGTCAACAGAGAACGCCGCCTTTCAATAGTCAAGACTCCGTTGACAGAGCCGACAGTCGTGAACATAGGCTCGAAGACCAGCAGCAACTGGTTCTCTTGGACTGCCAGCAACAGCAAAGGTGGTGTCACTACTGTGTCCCCCAATGGTTTGTTTGCATTAAGGGACGACCAATCCCTAGAAGAAAAACTATATCACATTCAAGTCGAATTGGATGGTAACGTTGCTGGCGTTACGGCCCGTTATTTATCGGCAGTAGCTAGGACGAACATCCCTGCGGAAATGATTCATCGGATGGAGCGAGTGACGAAAAAGAAGCCTCCTTCAAAAGTTGACGTTCAAATCTTTCTGAGCCACGACCAAACCATCGATGGTGACGACACGAAGCTAAGGAAAGACCGCGATGTTCGCCGCATCGCCAAATCCTTCTCACCTAGAGTAGGCGAAGGACGAATTTTCATTGGTTTCCGTACTTCTCAAACAACTGGTTTGGCTGCCCATTTGGCGGCTCCGTTTGTCCCAACAGTCGAACGAGAATCCATAGATTTACAAGACCAAACTTTGCGAATGTTCAACTCAGAACTACTTGACTTTGCAGGGATAATGATGCGTCTGACCATTGAGCACAGTATGATGGCACTTGGTATAGATTATGAGAAGGGAGCTTCCGCACGAAGAGAAGTCGAGATGAAACTAATGAGAGAAGCACAGAAAATTCAAATTGAAAATAATAGAAAAAATGAGAAAGATGGCGAGACGAACCATGGACAAATTCTGTCATTGAATGACAGTTTTGTAAACGATGATCTTGCTAGTTCCAGCGGAACAAGCCAAGTAAGGACTACGAAATCGTTATTCGGTTTTGCAAAATTCATGGCGAAGGGAGTAAGAAAAACGATTAAAAAAGTAGTCACTAATGTCAGTGATTTCGTCGATGAAGCAGTGGGAGGTGAACTAATCCATCCACTAGATCCAAGACCGCTGAGTACCGAGGAGCACCAGTGCATTTTGCTTATGCAATCTTTTTGCCCACAACAATCCACTCCTGACCCGTTGGTAGGGACAATTTTGGCGCAAGGTTTCAGCCGTTGTATCGATCGCGCCCCACCGGTGCTGACTCGGTCAGGGGTGGTCCCGGGTGATCAAGCACGACTTCCAAATAAAGGCATGGAAGCGTTCGTGGAAGATGACGTTGTACGATCGATAATTTATCAGAATGCAGAAGAATATCATGATGTCATTGCACAATGTGAAAAGTTGACTTTGGATGATTTGACTCTAAAGCTCTCTAAAGATGTACTAGAGGAAAGCAAGTTAATACGTCTGATTAAATGGTGGGTGAAGTTCAACAAGTTTCAGCCATGCACAACCACGGTCCAGAGTTCGAGGCTGAAGGACAAAGTTCGATTCATGCTTGAGAATGAGAACAAATATGAAAAAAGTGATGTCTTGCCTGTGTATTGGTTAAAAGACTTCTTGTTTTATGTCGACAAGGATATAATTCGTTGCGGAAATGGACATAATATTGAAGATCTTCCTATGCCAGACTGTGTATTACCTCGACGAATCCAAGGCGAAGTAACAGGTAGAATTCTGTCGGACAAATCCTTGAATGCATGGTTTACCCCTCTACCCGTCGAGCTCTGGATTGATTTCATTTCTCAACACCCCTGTATGACATCGGGTGAACCAGAATATGAAGAAGTGAGACTTCGAGTCCTCTCAACTCTTTGTAACGAGTATAGAAATGTAAGTTTTGGTTTCAAGATTACAACAATCAAACTTTTTGATCAAAAATGAATCAGAGTTTTATTGTGATAGTTGAGTTGCACAATCTTTCATCTCTTTGCACCAAATTTAGAGCTGTAGTTGTTCATCTACGCCAAACGAACAAGATTTTCTCCAAGTTTTTTACTACTATTTTTTTGTGACGCAGTGACTAACTCCCATTATTTGCTGCAATCATTCGTCACTTTAAATTGCATTGATTGATTTTACTTAAGCGAACATCAAACCACCAAAAGTTATTTGGTAATTCTTGTCAAAAGGTTTTGAAAGACAAGCGATGCATCCCAATTGATTCTTCAGAACCTATGAGGTATTCTGCGGACTTGCCCTCTAATTTATACCTCTGTTCAGCGGAATTGAAGATGTTCGCAAACGTCGGCAACTTTCGCAAGGTGTCGACAAGTCTCCAACTTGCGGGAGTGAACGACGAATTTCTATTACTGCTTGGTGTACGCAAATCTGTTTCGGTAGACTTTCTATTTGAAAATCTTCATACTCTCAAATACATAGACGACCCCAAGCCCCTCGTGGAGTATCTCCAATCAGCTACATTAAGCAAGACCGATGTTAAAAAGCTAAAAGATAGTCAATACCTACCAGCAGAAAACGATGCCAGCCGTATGTTCGCTCCAGGTAAGATATCATCAAATCATGTTTTGCCCACTGCTTTATCGCATTGACATGTAGTAGACTTAAACTGTGTGCTTCCCGTCTTAATTTCCGCAATTTCCATCCCAGCTGAACTGTACTTGCCTGATCCAACATTCAGAATCTTTCCTTTTATCCGATTACTGCAATGGCCTTCTGAGGACGATATATCCGAGCGTTCATTGAATGGAAAATTCCTTGTATCTATGGGAGTTAAACCTGTACCTGAACTACTTCAGATATTGAGATATGCGTCTAGTGAGGTACCTGACGGTGTCACGAGACTCCAATGCCTAGATTTTGTTGCAAACAGACTTGGTTCTGGAGGGACTTACCAATTGGAATACTCTCGTCTGAGCAGGTCTGATAAATCGAATCTTAAATTCCTGCCCTGTCTGATTGCTTCTCCATTGAGTGGCGAAGAGAAACAAACTTGTTGTTCGACCCTCAATTGCTGTTCAAATCCCGCACCTGGTGTGATGGGATTTCCAATTCTAAACATCGATGGTAAAAACAAGTTGTACGGAAATCTCTTTCAGTGCGCGGAGGAGCCAAGCCCTGCCGCTCTACTTCAGCAATTGAAGTTAATTGTGTCTCTTGCCAGAAGAACCCTTCACTCAGGAGCTGGAGAAAAACAAAGAAAAGAGTTTTCGCACAAAATTTTTGCTACGTTCTTACGGATCTTCAATTACATGTCTAGCAGAAGTTCGGAAATTGATGGAAGCAAATTATTTGACGAAGACTTCATACCCTGCCTCGTTGATGATCAAATTCAATGGTTTCATCCAACAGAGGTCTTTTTTAGAAGCAAAAAATCAGATGAAACCGGAGACATCACACGGGCCCTTTTCCCTGTTGTGGAATTTAGTCCTTTTCTTGCAAGCGCTGGTGTGAGACAAGAACCATCAACTAGGGATATTTTCAAGAGAATGATTAAATCCCCCAAAGAAGTATTTGCAGCAGTTCAGAGTGAAGGTAACTATCGAGCACTTCTACGTAGAATAGCGTCACACCCTCCGTTTACACATGTAACTGATGAGATCCGCGAGTCCCCCTTCTTGCTGGCGTATAGCGTTACAGAAACGACCGGTGTGAACGAGGAGATGACTTACGAGCTTGCCAAAGCCACGGATATTTTTGTCATCGACAATTCTGTTTTTGGGCGTATGTTTTCGGTTAAAAGAGCACCAAACGAGTCTCACCTTGAAGAGTTTTATGTCTTACTTGGTGCCGAGTACATATCCAAAGTTGTAAGGAAGAAGTTTGATATAGTAGGGGCATACGAACAGGGGACAAATGTTTCTAATAACCTCATGGAAAGAATTCAAGAACGCACACCGCTGTTAATCTCTGCAGGAAGTTCCTCAAGGTCGTTACTGGTACATAATGCGCAGGCACTCTTAGACCTAACGAACTTGAAGGTAGTTCAAGCACCCGACATCAAAGCGAATTATTCCCTCGGAAAATCAGTTCGTACGCAAAAAACTACTTGTTGCGTTCGAGGAGGCATGTTCGGCAAAAACTCAATAGTTGTGACAGAGGATTTTGACTGGTTCGATGTTGGTTATATCATTGGCGAACTCATCCTCAAGAGATGCTTGTTGGAGGATGCTTTCTTAATAAGTTCTTTATTAGAAACACCTCTGGATCAATTGAAAGCTCGAGGGTTTCCGGTCGATCGAATTATAAAACCGGAGCCTCTCCCTGAGTATAGCGGCGTCTCCTCGCCTTTACGGACGAAAGAAACAGAACCAAATCAAGAATCTAAGATCGACAACGATTCGAAATCTATCGATGACCACTCAGAGAATGGTCTAGATCAAATCGAAATTAGATCATCCCAAAATGATCATATTTTTAGGTTGAAGCAAATGTATCCTGGCATAAACGAATCCTATCTTCAAGATAAGCTCGGAAAGAATCCCAATATTGATAAAGTTCGAAGCATTGCCGAAGAGTTGGCAACACAAGGTTACCCAAAAAAAGAACTCGACAACCAATCCACCAGCAAGTCATCGAAACTGCTCGGGTCTAAGAAACTTGGGAAAGTACTAAAAAACTTCGGAGGCCTGCCAAATAATTTGAAACGAAGCGGATCTCAGTCGTTGCATAAGCCATCAACAGGAGAAAGATACCCTGTAGCACCGAAAGATGATGCCATTCTTCATAGTGATATGGAACGTATGCTAGAAAAGAAAGTGCGGAGCTCTCCGCATGTCAGTGCCGCCGGTATTAAATCAGCTCAGGAGTCGATGGATATTCCACAAGGCCTTGGTCATGGAAGTACCTGTGAAGTCATTCCGTCTCAAGATATAATCCCTTTCGTTGGTAATAATGGGAAAATGGAATCCCACAACGGGATCAAATTGTTTTACTACCGGAAAGAGCAGTCCTCAAAACAATATTTGAGAGTGAATCATGATGCAGTAGAGAATTTTGCTGTTGTGCTGGAAAGGCTCTGTCGCGTGTTTGAACTTCCATTAGCGTCGGTTGCAATTTATCACGATCCGACTGGGAAAGCCATAGCCTTTAATTCTGGGGGTGCCTTGTATTTCAACGTGAGATACTTTTTCGGTTTACACTATTCAAAGAATGTCCACCGAAGCAAGGCTTGCTACTCGTATTGGTATGTTGTAGCATGTCATGAGCTAGCTCACAACTTGGAGGGACCTCATAACAGTACCCATGCATTTTACACCGAAAGCTATACATCACTGTACCTCCCAAAGCTGATGGAAGTTTTGGCTGGAGAGATTGAAGAAAAAATTTTGTCTGCAACGTGACGTAACAACTCTGGAATCGAACTAAGAAATTTCGAAGACGTCGAGACGAAAAAGACGATTACTAGAACGATATGATTATTTTTTACTAGAGCTGATTTTAAGTAAGCAATCTCTAATGCATATTTCTTTAGAATATGTATGTTACTGCTCCACTCCATTCCACCCATCACATGGGCCACAATGGTGATTGCTATTGAAGCGTAAGATATCAGAATCTACCTCCGGAACGCAGAAAGTTTGATATCCAGATATGCTGGAGTAATGACAGACGTAAACCATTCGTTCCTCATCTCCTTGACAAGGGTAGTCATCATGAAGGCAATAAGGAGCATCATCGTCGTCATTACATGGTTCTGCTGCAGCTTTCATTTCATCTGTCAAAAAGCCTTGCTCAATGTTTATGCTATTGCGGTCATTCAGTCGACGACTGCCATCACAAAGAATATCTGCCGAACACGGAACCTTGTATGTAAAGGAACAAGAACCTACACTGCCATCACCACACATCGCCCTCGAAGAAGAATGCAAAACACCATTGTTACAGACATGAACCTCAATTGTTGCAGACTTTGATGTGGGGTCGCAGGCCGCAGCTAAAGTAAATGGGTACATTGTACCTCTTGATAGCGAGTTCAACGATTGGTACTGGCGACCTAATCCATCACCTCTATCATAAACCAATTCGATTTCTGAACTTGAGGAAACCCAATAGTTCGTGATTGAAAAGCGCACTTCGTTCGAGCCAATATCGTCAAGTTCTTCAACAATGAGTGGAAAGGATGTGTACTCACAAAAAGGGTCATTTCCGGTATCTCTTCCAACGAGCAAAACGCTGTCAAAACATTCCGGTTCAACACTCTTAGTTAATTCCGACGGAGGCAAKGGGGAATTCCGAGTATGTTCATGACCAATTGAGCTTGAGGGCGGTTCTTCAACAGAGTCACATGGCTTGCAGGACACCTCAAAGACAACAGCAATATAACCTTCTGTACCATCACTT